TCTATACGGTTTTCCAAATCAAGCCTGAGGAATTAAATGAAATCTTACGTTATCTCAGGTCGAAATGGTCACGCGAGTGTGCTGCCCCGATGGACTGAAAACACAAGCCACTTGCTTTTTATTATCCACACGCCGCAGATCGCATTAGAGACTGGGTTTGTGCACAATGTGTAAATAGTACAGTGCCTGCGGATAGTTTGTGTCATCCAGTCCTTTAGCTCTTCAATAAAAATGTGTGTAACATCTTCCAACCTAATTTGGTGTGGTATTCAAAGGATAGATTACAATACGCAGAACATCCTCATATTCTTCCCGTAATATGCATATAACAGCACCACCGTCCAGAGACGTGCAGGCTTTAGTGGTTGTCTGTGTTCACCAGATAAAGACGAAGAATGGTTCTAATAAGCCGCAGAGTCTCCACAACCAGTGTTTCTTCTGAGCACATTTGTTCTCACAAAGGCTAAATGTATTTTGAGTGGCAGATTAAGGATATTGGTCAGGGGTTCTGCATTGTCAGCTCTGAAAAGTGGGGTAAATGTGTGTTCGGATGATAATTCCCACATTCTTTGGCTCAACGGCGGACAAAGGAGCTGTAGTGTTCTCGGTTTTCGGAAATGTGTTTCACAGATGTTAATTATGGGTGACATAATCTCATTAAGTCTCTTTGCTTAGCGACTCAATTTCTTTTACAAGCATTAGTCATGATTGAGTAGTTTAGGGGTTTAAGTTCCTCTATTGTTTGAGTTTAAAAAATGTCCGTCTTCACAAGGGGCTGTTTTGTCCAATTTGTCTTCCACAAGGATTCTTAATGTCCAGCAGTTTGTAATATCAAACTGTCTTGGTCGGGTGAAGACATGAACATTACAACATCCTTTTCATCCAAGGATCAAGATTTAGAGTTAGAATTTGATTTGTTTTTTATACAGTAGTACAATACACCAATGGTGTAAGAAGTGTTCAGATTGGAGCTGTCAGTAGATTTAAGAAAATTAACTAATTACACATTTTGAATTTCATTAATCTCGATTAATGAATTTTGTTGTTACAGTGTTGTTTTTAATGAGACTAAATCTTACAGAATCTTACAGAAAACGTGTATTTTAGACGCTGTTTGATTTATTTATTATTAATGAATTATTTTAAAACACAACTACACAGATTTGATCATCTTGTGGGCAGAATTCCACCGGGTGGAACATGTTGAACTTAGAGCTGGCAACTTTTTGAAAAACCTTGGAGTGAGATTTTGTCGGGCAGATCAGGGAATTGGAATCAATTTTCCGTTGCACCCATGTTGTGCCCTGCAATCTGGTGGTTTGTGGTTCCCAAAGTCGTTGATAGGGGCGGCCTCCTGGAGATGGACAACATTGGTTACATTCTGTGAAGCAAAGACATAGCTGAAGATCCACCCACAGGGAATTTTGGTTTAAGTAGATGTTATTTCCTGCATTCTAGTGGATTTTTGGGTGGTATGCTAAAGATCTGCAATACTTGGAACTTATTCGGATTCATATTCATCTGATCATGACTAGGGCATTCTAGACTTGAGCTGAACATTCAACCAGAAAACTATTGTTGTGCCTCAATGATTTGACAACTAATTCTTAACTGAAACCTAACCTATATTGTTAACAATTGTATTCTTAAGAGCACTTAATGATTTATGTTCAGCAAAAAATGACACAAGATTAGTTCGGGAGGAATATTGTTCATTATTCAAAGCCTCCCACTACACATTCTATCAAACAAAAAAGTGCCACAAATAAAGTGCTTAAATAATAACTACTCTCAGTTACAAAAACATGTCTACTTCTATTGCACAAATGTCCTGTCTTTATGTTAAATTCTTTGGAATACATCTTACCTGTTCAAAGTGCTATTTGGAAAAGTCTTCAGAGTGAGTCCTTTTCTTTGGCCTGTTAATAAAAAGATAAATGCTATGTGAGCAGCCTAATTAAACAATGCTCTGATGTTTTGAGCATGCAGTACACCGCTTAACAAGGTGCTCTCCTGCTGCTTGTTATGACAGCAGAGTTTGCATTCACCACACACAATCAAGTTCTCACACACAAACACAAACAAATCATTTATTCCAACATTTAAAGTTTAAGAGAGTGAGTATTTAATTGAACCACATGGCATTCACATACCTAGTCTCTGCTCAGATTGGAGATAAAGATTTTCTTCAGCATTGGATTTTCTTCCTGAGTTTCTCCCGCGGTTGTTTCTCTTTGTAACTCTTATGTCGCTAACTAAGAGGATGTCTACGCAGCGAATAGGGTTAAAGGTGCGCTCCTTAGCGCCATCTACCGTCGGGGAAATTGCAAAGGAACGCGTCTCGGCCCAAAGTTGGATTTTTTTTTTTGCGTGAGAAATTGGATGTGTGACGTGAGTACATGTGAAAACATGCAAAGGCGTGTGTCACACGGCGAAAGCATGAGAGTTGGCAGCTCTCTTGAACTAGCAACTCTTCCAGCTAGCTTAGCCTAGCGGTGCTTTTAGTGGCGGTTTTCAACTCACCCCCCTTCTGTTTGACACGAGTAATTCCTCTGCACAGTGTATGTCGCGTCTCTGTTTGTTTTACTTCCAATGCAAAAAGCTCTTTCCATCTTGAGCTACCGTCTTGCTTTTTCCGATGTAATTGGCTGCAGCTGGTGGCCGTTTCGTATCCGCGGTAAACTTCCGTAACTTCCGGTAAGTAAACCGGAAGTAAACAATGGTACGTTAACTACGTTAAAATATTTTGTCACAATAATCTTGGCCACATTATTCGCATAGATTAACGCGTTTATATTGACAGCCCTAGTTCAGATCCTTTACTTCAAGATATAATGAATATGTTCAAATAAAATATATATCGGGTGAAAAGAGATCGCTCAGTGTTGAACTTAATCTTAACCATAACCCTACATTTGATCAACTGTTCCTTCCAGAATGGTTCATTCTAACAGAACAAAAACACAATGATTTTTACTTTCATGTGATTTTATACAGAATAAAAAACTTAATAACATTTTTACTGGCCCATAGATCCAGTTAATGTTGCACACTGCACCTTCGAGGAGCAGAAAAGTTTCAAACCCTGCACAAAGCCGGCTGCATTTGCTCGGAACATTGATGGATTAGAAGTTTAAATTAGCAGCAAATTAGATACCTAAAAACAGTATAGTTGAGAACAGTTACTGGGGTATATGTACGTAGTTAGTAACCACCAGCATCAAAAAAAGCTTTTATTTACACATTTTATTTCAAGATGAACATTATCAAAGCATGATCAACTATCTGGGGTGCGAAACAGAAATCTCTGATCCAATTCACACTTCTCTTTGTAGATTGGAAACACCAAAAACCCAAGATCTAGACCCTGTTTTTCCCTGCACGCGTTTAGACGCTGACCGCGTGAAGTGAATATCAAGGTGACCATGATCAATGGTACGCTAGCTGTTAGCCAAGATGATTGATTTTGAGAGTGAGGTACTCTGTGCCTTGTTTTCACCAAAATGATCTCAGTAAATCTTGCGTTTTGTCAGGGGCGACGGTCGGTTTAGGCGCACTGCAGGACTTTGTGTCTCTAGTCTCTGGAATGTGTGATTGAGTCCTTGAGAGCTCCTTGGAAAGACTGACATGGTAATCGCTCCTCTGTCGACATGCCCTGTGTATCCGTGTAAGATGCTCCGGCTATGAACGTTTATTATGGACCAGCCGTGTGTCATTAATAGCTGCGTCCACAGGGCTGATGAATAAACTCCTAAGTCTCTGTCATTTTCATGACGTGGCCTTCCCCTCCGAGTGCCAACATAGTGGAGACAGATTAGTTCTGCTGCCGTGGGTAAAGCAGATTAGCAGAGATTATTAACAAACATGCTGGATTATAATGACAGTATCACTCCCGTCTTTACAGACAACACAACTTTGCGCTGAACTGCTCAAACCAGAAGCGCGGTTAAAACATTAGGTCTCGGCATGGGAGCAGTCATCACAGGGATCAGAGGCAGAGCCGCCTGGATTTAATCTTCTTGGTCCCAATTAAAGTCAGATTTAGTGACATCAGTCACAGTTCATCACAGTGATTATGCTCAAGCTGTTCGGTAAGGAGATGATACAGAGTTTATGGGAACTGCCACTAATTGGAGATTTCACTTAGTGTCCACTCAGCATTTTGGATTCGGAATAGATTAATATCTGCAAAATCACATTTATACCTATTTTTTTAAAGACAGATTCAAATAAAGCCATCATTCTTCAACAACCTAAAATGGTTATGACTGTGTATGTCACTTTTTCACATCTATTCAAGTGCTTTACTCATTTACAAATTAGGTGTATCTGTACTTAAGTATGCCCAGTTTACATTTAATTGTTAATTTACACACCACTCAATACATTGATTGATCTCTGCATCCCCCCATGCATTGCAATGAGTCAATAATATGCATGTGCTTCAGAACAATGTTAAACATAGATTCAAGACGGTTTTGTGGTTAAATATTTTTTTTGTATCCAACACTGGATAAAAATATCCTCTTGGGTAAACAGTAGTCCAATACATTTGGGTTGCAGTTGTGTCAAGAGCAGACAACTGTTTGTTTGATTTTCAGATAACGTTAACTCAGATTATAAATACATATATTGATTTCCTCACTGAAACAATTTTCATCCATCTGAAAAAGGAAGTCAATATGCGCCTTACAGGCACATGAGAACGGATGATTTTAGCGTACATATTAGCAGCATCGTTAATTTCCTTTCAATGGTTCTATTATGTATCTTAGTACCTCAGGTACTCAAGGTGTGGAACGAAGAGGATGTAATGGGATAAAGCTAAGAATATGCACATTTTATCTACGAGATGTGTGGTCTGCAGTCGGTTGGTTTAGGCGTTAAACCGTGATCATGTATTAAAAGGGGTTATTGACAATATATAAGATCAATATGTACCAGATGAGAAACAACTAAAATCAGCACTGTGAAATATTAAAATCTTTGAAAGCCCCGGATGTGAGGGTGTTATGTGCACAAAACCTTTAATGTCACAGAGGGGAAGTTAAAATCACTGCACACGGAAAAACAGGCCTTTTCTTAAAGGCACATATGCTTCCAAAGAGTCATTTAAATGTTTGATGCTGACACATTTCCATTTCTCATAATGATTTTCTTAGGACTGTAGTACAATGATTCCACAGTGAAACAACTCGTAGATCCCCATGGCCTAGCAGATGTATTCCACTGGAGACTGAAACTTTGAGGGTGAATATTGAAGAAATCTTTATGGGCTGGAGGTAAACCTATCCAGCGAAGGATTCCAGGAAAGACATTTTAAGATGTGTGTAGAAGGAAATTGAATTTCCCCATATTCTAATTGTTGTACCCTTAGCAACACATTCATATTTGCCAGCCCTTGTTGGGGTCGCCACCCAGACTTTGGAAATCAATGCTGTAAAGAACCGAACCAACAATGAAGATGCCTTTTGTTTAACAGAAGAGATGTTGCACCTTGAGAGATCACAAGGTAGAGTCCAGTGCCACCTAGTGGTGAGAAGATAGCAGTAAACAGGAGAAGTGTGGCTCTGTGTTTTTTAATTGATCTAGTTATCTAGTATTTATTTAATCAGTCCCTCAACTTTTTATTCAGCCGCTAGGGAAGTCATTATGATAAATTATACATGCATTGAATACTGCAGCATCTCTAGTTGATTTACGAGAGAAGGGATGCGGTACAGATGGCACATAATGCAATAATAACCTGAAATAACAAAGAAAATACCAAGAATACTAAATAACTGTTAATCACATTTATATTATTACTGCTACTAATAATACATTTTATTTATTCAATTGCTTGCAATGCTGCTGCTGTTATGTTAGTTGTAGTTATTTCATCATTAGTCTGCTTTCTAAAGACTACTACTTATAAATGATGTGTATAACTACATTATATACATAATTTATGTCATACACATTGACTGTTTTAATCATATTATGTTTGTTCCATACACATGACATCTATTGTACTTCTGGCCGTCCTTGAAGAGGATGTTGTTATCCACTAAGGTTTCTTCTTCTTTTTGGAAGAGTTTTACCTGTTTCCAAGCGAGGGTCCCTGACAGAGGATGTTGTTGGTCCAATTTTTAAAGCCCTCTAAGGCAAACTCGTGATTTGGGGCTTAACAAACAAATTTCATTTAATTTGATTCAAACGTGTGCAGCGTCCATCTGGCCATCCATCAAAATAAAATCATACCCAGCGTGTTCATCTGTCTGCTTCATGTGCTCTAGTACCATCCCGGTTCATTTTAGGTTTTAGTGCCTCCTCACAAGTCCTCATGTGCACCGCCACACTTTGCTTCTTCTCTTTGTCCAGCCTCTTGTAGTTGAAGTAATGCATGACGAAGAAAAACATGCCCGGCACCAGCATGAACACTCCGCACGCATAGTACATGGATTTGTATTCCCCGTAGATATCAACCAGAGCTCCTGAAAGAGAAGATAAACACTTACTTCATCACCATTCTATAGAGTCCCACTTTTTTGATTCATGTATTTCGAATCTGAAAAAAAAAGTGTTCTCTCAGAAGTACACAAACCTGAAATTGGAGGCCCAAGAAGCACTGGTGCACACTCAATGATGGTGACTAGTCCAACTGCACTGGAGAAGCGGTGAGCTCCGACGAGATCCATCAGAACTTCAAAAAGCAGCGCACAAACCATGCCAAACGCCAAACCAAAGATGACCGCATACACAACCAGACCGGCATATCCGGGTAACAGTGGGCATAAAAGGTGGCACACACCATTGAATGAAACCGCAAAACTGAAAAAGTATTGGATCCGTGGCCGAATCCACTTGCTGTTGCCAATGAAGCCAGTCGCCGGCCTCGTGAACATGTCCACCAGAGCAAAAATAGAGAGCAAGAAAGCTGCTGAATATTCATCAATCCCTTGATGTTTTGCATACGGAGCCATGAAGACCACCGGCGCGAAAAACCCAAAAAACATGACCACGTTACCAATGAGATAGATGAGGAATCCCCGGTGTTTGAAAAGTGAGACGTCTATAAACTTGCTCAAACAGCCGCGGCTCGACTGGTGTTTTCCAGTCAGCAGGTCAGCCAACTGCTCACGGGCGTCCGGGCTAGCGGCTTCCTCAGCAGATGGCCTGTCACGCTCCGGTGCAGCCCCTGATTTCGGTTTGGTGTTTCGATTGACTGGTCTCATCAAAGCGCCAGCTACACAGCAGTTCAAAACAATGGATCCCAGGATGAGGAAGCTCCCTCTCCAGCCAAAGGAATCAAAGAGAAACTGATTGAGAGGAGCCAGAGTGAACAGAATAACTGGACTTCCCGCCATGGCGAGCCCGTTCGCCATGGGCCTTTTCACCTGGAAGTAGGTACCAATGATTGTCAGTGCCGGCTGCAGGTTCAGGGCGAGTCCGAAACCTGTTGAAATAATCGAATGGCTCATTAATTCACCATGAATAAATCAATTAATGCAATAAAAAAAAAAAAATTTAAAAGACAGATAGAAAAACATTGTGGCCAGTGGACACAGAACTTAAGTCTATTCAAATGTTGATATTCAGTGGCACATATTGCTGTGGGAATAATTCTGATTTTGTTTCAAAATGAACTAATAAAACTATACCATTACCATGAAAAACATGAATTAATAAATCAAAAAAGTCATCAGCTGATAATCAGTATTTAAGTATTTCCTTTTCACGTCAAGTTTAATTTAATGTCTAAAAGTTTAAAAAATGTTTTAATTCATTCAATTCCCCTATGTACGTTTTTTTTTGTGTGCCACAGTAGGTGGAGCATCCAGACAGGTTTAAGATTAAAGTCTTTGTTTACTTGGTAGCATTAGTATGATCATGTGTTCTGGTATGTGGGGATTTTCTAAATCATCTGATTTAGTAGGTCATGCAAAAAAGAAAAGAAAAAGGTCCCTTAACACAAGTGTTCTAATAACAAAATATTTGCACAATACACAGAAGGCGGAAGTTAATCCCCCACAGCGTTAAGGCTGGCGCATGCTTCTGCGTCTGCGTCGTTGCGTCGACGCACTCGTTTCAATTCATGGTTCTAAAAGTCTTGCGTGTGTTGCAGAGCAATTCACCGCCAGAACAACAGGCGGAGTGACGTGTTTTACGGGAGTAGCGGACTGAATGGTGATCTAAAAGCTTCAGCATCCTCCCTTTGTCAGGTGGTCACAATCAGGCAACGTAAAAGAAACATTACAAAGGACAGCAGAAAAATTAAACGTAATTGACCAGCAATAACTTTGAGGCGAAGATACAGATCCAAAAGAAGCCAGCGGTACGCCAACACTAACCTAAAGCCCACTGAGCTGATCACAGGCCTGTCGCCATAGTGGAGGACAAGTATGCTGCTCACAGTAGGTGGAGCGTCCAGACAGGATTTAGGTTTAAAGTCTTTGTTCAACTGGGGGTGTACGTGTGATCAGGTGTTGCGGTGTACATGAAAGTGTGCAGAGATTCTTTTTAATCATCTGATTTAATAAGATACTAAATAAAGTTGTTGACAGAGGTCTGCGTGTTGTTCTATCAAGGAAAAGACTTGCACATTGCTAAGAAGGTGGAAGTTGACCCCCCACCGTGGCACTAATGTCACTATTGGACTGGCTGATGAAAAAAAAACTCCTGCATCCTCCCTTTGTCAGCAAACCTTACAGAGAACAGCAGCACACTTACCCTTAGGCACATTAAAATACCTGAAAATCACATATGATGATTGAAAAAAAATAGAATTTACCGCCAATAACTCCAACGCAAAGATACAGATGCATGATAGTCCTGCCAAAAGAAGCAAGCACCATGCCTGTGCTAACCATGAGCCCACCAACCATGACCACAGGTCTGCTGCCAAAGCGGTTCACCAGTATGCTGCTCACAGGTCCTGCACAGAGAAAAGAAATATCTCATTTTCTCTGAACCATTTCTTCACTGAAGTATTCTAACACTTGGGGTGGTTTTTCTTATTTAGTTAAATAGGTGGCATGATGCAATAACTTTTCTCTTTCATGTGTCAAATGCGGATGGGAAACATGAAAAACGTGTATTTCTGAATAGAAAAATAAAAAAAATGACGGTATGATTGCCACTGACCCCCTGCGTACATAGAAGCGAGCATGACGGAGGACAGCCAGGCAATCTCGCTGTAGGAGACAGAAAAGTATTCCTGAATCTCCTTAAAGTAGATGGTGAGGGACTTGGGGAAGGCATAGGAGAATCCTATGGAGATGAAAGCGCCAAAGACAACAGCCCAGCCCCAGCCTCCATCTGGTGGGGTGTAGCCTAGTTTGGTTCCCGCTGCGGGGGGCATGCTCGATCCGCCGGCTGGAAGGACAAACAGTTAAAAGAAGTAAGCGCAGTAAAAAAGAAGAAAAAAAATGCACATTTTCAAAAGCTGTGGTAATGTTAACACACCTTACTGTCAAGAGCTCACCCCTGCCCAGTCCTTAAAACAGTAACAGTCAAGCTATGGAGCCTGTTGTTGTAAGTCCTGTGGCTGCCTCGCAACAGGAAGACCCTGCTTTAAGGCCTTTGATCTCATCACGTGTGCTCGCATTCCACACACTAGTGACCAGATAGAGCAACAACCCTCCTGGAGACTACATTTATTTTGTTAGCATTCTACAAAAATATTAGTTGCTGAAATCTCAGCCACAGATGTTCTGTCTTGGACTTTGTTGAAGTTGATGACTGCCAACAAAATAAAATAAGTCTTTCATCGTAGTAAAAATAACAAGGTGTAATCAGACATTACAGGACATACCTATTTAGTTTAGATAATAACCAAAAACCCAATTAATGTGTTTCAGAAAAGCAACACTAATAATAACTAACCGTAATCTGTGAGAAATTCCACAAAAAATATGTATCTTAATTAAATTATTAAATTCTCAAATCACACTCGCATCCAACGTTATCTCCAAAGGACCAATAAAACACAACCTCTGTGAGAAATAGGTCGCCTTTAGCAACTAGTTAATTCCACTAAGATTTAGCTTGTTAAAAAAGTAACAGAGTGGGACCTCTGGCAAGAAAGTCACCACGCCCCTTTACGTCACTCTCTTCCGGTCAGCTGCTGCTACCATCTCACCGCTATACTTTGCATTTCATTAGTTCAACTTGTTCTACTAAATTAGCGAACTTGAGGACGCGAGGACCTTTTTAAAAGGTTCTCCGTCGGGTGTCGGCTTTCTACAGCGGTGACCTCTGTTTGTGTCGCTTGCGTAACTCGCGCATTGTTGTCTTTACGTCAACCGGCGCGTGCCACACAAAGTCGTTGAAGCGAGCGGCTGTGCACGCGAGTTTGTCGTCTGGTTATTCGGCAATTCCGCCGTTCGGTGTCATCCCCGGAGATGTTGTCCCGGGTGAGAGCGGGCTGGGCCTCGGCCAGGTTGCCCGCTTGTGTAACGTACGCGTTGAAGCCAATGGCGGCTGGTGAGGAGACACCTGTCCTCCGCACGCATCGCCGGCATCGAACCTCCGGCCCGCAGTCCGCGGGTGTGAAGGTAAAACGTCTCTGCGTGCATCACGTTTACACGTGCATAACAACAAACCTCTTCAAAGTCTTTTATTTTGTTTGGTCGTTTTCCGCTGCAGGCTGCAGTGTGACTGCAACAGATAACTTCATGTTAGTGGCATGAAAAGCAAATCAACGCAAATAGACATTTGACATTTAGTAAACGTGCCAAGTCCGCAGCTGTAACTAGTACGACGTTCGGTCAAAGATGCTTGCTAAAGAAAGACCACCACTCTGCCGTTATGATGGTAAACGATAAGTTTTAAGTGAGTGTACAGTATTGGCATTTTTTTATATACAGAAAAAGCCAACGGAGTGGTACGTCTGTCTCCGAGTAAACTATCTAAAAAAGGACCGCGTGCAAGTCACGTTTATTGTTCATATTAAGAGATATTGTGACGACGTTTTGTGTCCCCATTTCTGAAAGTGAGCGGGTAACTCTTCGCTGAATCGCAGTCGACTGCAGTGGCGGCCCGAGGACAAAACAACACGTTTTCCCCCTCCTAACTTAACTTCCAACAGACATAAAGTCAGAATCTGAAGCACGTCACCTTCAGTCTCCGAATCTGGACCCCCGGAGTGTGTGGAACCGCGTGTCCTGTCCCGTGCTTCTCCGCTGCAAGTGTGGAGACTGAAAATGTCTCGTGGGCAACGTTAGGGGTCGCGAGCCTAAACCTGACTTTAGAGATCAGGTGACGTTCGTCGGAAAATATTTTATAGAATTCAATAATGCAAAACTACGCATCTTGAGATATGTGACTTCAGATTACACAATATGTCACAGATTATGCCATAACGTTTACTGATTTTTGACGTTATTTGTTTTTATGGTTAGTCCTAACCGACTATGAAACCACAATGTATTTGATATCCAATATAATAATGTGCTTTACCACAATTTGCACAGTATTGTTTAACTGTCCCCAGTAGAGCATTGGTTATTTAGGAAAATGGTCTTTTTACTCCCTCTCAAACAACCCTGCTTCAAATCCTTACCACCCCACATGTTGCTCTGTTTCAGGTGCTCTATGATGGGCTCTGTCCCATATGTGTGACAGAAATCCGATTCCTCCAGTTTCTGCAGAGGAACCGGCCTGGGAAAGTGGACTTTGTTGACATTTCCCTGTTTGGCTACGACGTAGAGAAAAACAAGGATGTCAGCTACGAGATGGCCATGGAGGAAATGCACGTGATTGATGAGAAAGACGAGGTAAATTCCCCCCGGCTTTACGGTCACAACACTTGACATGTTGGAAAATTTCTGAGGATTAATCTACAAGTGTTGTCACCATTATGGAGCACTATCTAACGTGCGTTTTATTGGCAGGTTCATCGTGGGATACCTGCCTTTGCAGTCATGTACAGCGCAGTTGGCCTTGGCTGGTTGGGTCGACTCATGATGTGGTCACCTGTGAGACCATTCATGGACAAGTCGTACGCCCTCTTTGCCAGGAATCGCTTAAAGTGGACCGGGCGGGGTGAAGAGTGTGCCAAAGGACGCTGTGAAAAGAAAACAAACTGAGAGGAAAAACCGAAAAAAAAGTATAATATAATACACTTGTTCTGTTCAGGGTTTTGTGGGTCTCCGAGCTGAAAAAGGGTGTGTGTGTGTGTGTGTGTGTGTGTTCATGAACACGTTTTCCAAAAATTAAAGGGAAGTATGCTTCTAAACATGAAACTTAAATATAATATCTTCATATAAAAACTTAGGTTGACCCCAAAACACACATGCCGATAAAAGGCTTGACTTCAAACAGCGGAGGGCAATTATACACAAAAAATGCACGATTGGCCTCGTATCCTGTTGCACAGCGTCTCAGATCAAGGTCAATTCAAAAGCGGATAGAAAAGCAAGCGTATTAAACTGCCACTAGATGTCATTATAGCGCCTTTTCTAGGAAAGGCGATTTGTTTTGGCCTACGGTGTGTTTGTGTTGTGCTTTGACGTAATCAGCAGCTAACTTCAGCTCACAGAGACCCTTGAAATGTCCCCCCCACCCCCCCAATCTAATTTTAGCTCCAACACATGACTTTAAGCCTGTGTGGTCTTACAAAGCATTGGCTTATGCTTGTCCGCCCGTCTACCAGCTCAACCAATAGCAGTTAAGTACTCCATGAGAGGAAGGTTGAATTAAGAATCAAAACACTGAAGAAATAGTGGTCCCGACCCCGTGTAATAAGGGCTGTACTGGATTTTGAAATAAAGGAACTTTGAAGAGGAATTGTGAAGACCGAGGACAAGGTATTGTGATTGAGGTAAATCCTTAGTGAATGTTTTTATCTGATGTGTCCTGCCAAGGTTAAAGTAGCTATAAGCAACGTTGGTTCATGACCTTCCCCCACTCAAGTGGGAAAGTCAGGTGCTGTGCCTCTCTTTTCTAAGTCAACAGTTTTCATGAATTGAGTTTTCATTTTACTTTTACATAGAACAAGAAGAACGTTACACTGTTCCTAAAGCGCTCTCGGGTCTCAAATTCCCATCTAACATTGAGTAAATAGCAGCTCTATTTACGGCATTAAGAGTTCTTAAGTCATGCACCGAAATATCTGGTCTAAGATTTCTGGGAAGGTCGACGTGCAATGTTATTGTGAAATATAACAATTGTGCACTTTTACACACACACACACACACACACACACACACACACACACACACTCTCTCTCTCTTCAAAAAAGTAACTCATTTGTTAAATTTGTATGTTTTGGATAAATTATGAATATAATTTGCATACAGTTTTCTAGAGGATGAATCATCATGACTTAAGTGATCCCTTGACGTTCCCCAACGCCACCAGTGCGATGTCATTCTTTGTTGTTATTAAAATCTCTCTTCAACTACTGGATGAACTTCCATGAATTGGGGTACAGGCTGTTCATTGAGGATGAATTTGAATAAGTTTAGTTTATGACAAAACACCTCCAAAAAGGTTCCATTACCATCAGCCTCAATTGTACTCTGCTTTATGCTTCACGTAATTAGCATGTGTCAACATGCTTACGCACTGAACAAACAACATCGTCATTCAGACCGTGTTAGCATGCGAAAATTAGCCTTTAGTATCACTGTGTGCTCTCACAGAGCTGCCTCCACTTTCCTAGATTCCTGTTGAAAATGCGGCTTCCGGGCAAAAAAATCGATGCAAGCTCAAGAGTGACATTTGGAATTTGATTGCTGCTCACCACTTCAGGTGAAACATGGGCCGCTACCTAAGCACCAACTGGTGTTCAAGTTCAGTGGACAAGACATTGAGGTCATTCTGCAGAGTGAGGTACCTGATCAGCCTTCTCAGAAAGTACCCTTGTGTGGCTAAAGCGACACTCGGCATGGACCCCCGCAGATACTACCTGCTATCTCCTCTTCATCTGCCCAGACAATGTATATTTAACAATTTAAGCCACGGTGCCGCAGGCTCTGCTTCTAACCACTTCCTCTGGGATTATACCAAAGAACCGATTCGTCTCCAGGTGGTGCGTCTTTACTCCTCCAATAGGAGTACATTAAAATCTGACGCTCCGATTGGGATCTTCGAGGAGGCTCCGAACGGTTTCCTGTCAAGATCACTGGGAGGGAATCTCGGTCAATCCTTTGACAGAATGGCCAGACACATTAACATGTATTTCAAGGGAAAGGGTGTTTATCCAGCTGTAAAGGATGGCCCAGAAAGTCTTCGAAGGTCACAGAGGCGTAGTCAAAGCCAGACAGCAGCCAGAGAGCGGAATAAATCAGAGAAAGACACAATGCGGACCTTGAAAAGCAAAGACAAACGGAACAGCTCAGGAATCCCTCCTTCGACACAAGACGACCGTGGACTGCAACTATTTCACATCAGCGCTCTGGCAACAACTTTTGGAGAGAGCTACAGTTATATTGCCGGTCACATTAATTCAGTCTTCTCTCGCAGTTTTACGAAGGTTCAAAAGGAGGAGCCTTTGGACAGCATTTCTCCCATAAGAGGGAACACCAGAAGGCTAAAGAAGAGACAAATACCAAACACTTACATCATCAGGTCTAAAGAGGATGAAATGTCTCAAGCAAAATCCGGTGCTGATCTGCCAACATTGGAGACTAACCACACCTCCAGCAGCTGGGAGGAGGGCTACCTACATTTTGCAAGACACATCAATAAATACTTTGGTGCCAAAGTTGCCAAAGAAGCGGATCAAGATCAGAAAAGACGAGAACCGATTGAAAGGAATGATACCTCACAAGCCGGAGGCGCCATGTCACAAATGAAGCAAGACAAACATATCATCCATAACACAGAAGGTCTTTTCCACAGCAACACCAACTTTGGAGATAACTATTCCCAAACGGCCGAACACATCAATCAGTATTTCAAGGGTCAGAGTGGATCAGATGAGGACATTGATCGAAATGTCTTAAAAGAGATGGATCCTGGATTTGCTAGTTCCGAGAGCCTAAAGGCCGTGACCTTCATGGACTGCCTTTACAACCCGACCAGGGCCATCCCTGACTTGCTGGGTGCTTATCTGAACCTAGGCCCCCTGTCTCAGACTCGTAAGCCCGCCGTCACTTCACCAGAGACGATGCTGACTAGAAAGGTGAGTTGTGGTATGAAGTATTCATTGAACAACTGAACCGAAAATATATCGATTGTTTTTCACCAATTACGTTCTTTATGCCATTGCTGTTCAAATTGTAACCAGATCTTCCTCGTCCCTTTTGGGGTTGTCAGAACATTGCTGGTATTGTTACAGAAGCTAAACCACATGCATGTAAAGTTTTGCACACATGTATATTAGTGATTTCTGGTTGTGTGTTTCTCAGCTGTGCTCTCAATTGAGTCGGAGGCAGGCAGAGGAAGTGACACGGGGGTTGATCGGCACTTTGTCACAGACTTCGCCTCCAGAAGCTCTGGCTGCCTGCATGGAGGCGCTCAATGAACACCTCATCCGTTACCCATCATGCAAAGCTTTAATGTGGCAGGTCTGTCGGAAGTGGAGCGAAAACATTTGAAAAGATCTGATTTCACCTCAGTGAATTCTCAAAGAAGTGTCTGTTTCCAGGAGAGAACCGCCGTCACATTGTTGAGGAAGCGACGGACCCACAGAGATAACCAGGCGCTTCAGAGTGCGTTGAGGGAAAGCTTGGCTCTAATTGGCTATGTGGATCCCGTCAAGGGTTCTGGTATAAGAGTGCTCTCAATCGATGGTGGTGGGACAAGGTAATTCTTGTTTAAGAAATGTCAGAAGATATTGCGTGTTTCATCCAACCAACAGTTTAAAACACAGAGAACTTTTGTCTTTGCATTTCTTAGAGGTGTGGTGCCTTTACAGGTATTAAAGCTACTGGAAGCTCAAACAGGCAGGAGGATCCATCAGCTGTTTGACTACATCTGTGGAGTGAGCACAGGTAACAAATAACTGACAATAAACTCAGCTAATATTAACAACATAATTGATGCGTAACAACCCTCTCTCTGTATGTGTCTGTTAAAGGGGCCGTTCTAGCCTTCATGCTGGGTCTTGCCCAGTTTTCTCTAGAAGAGTGTGCTGACATGTATCGTCGTTTTGGCTCCGAGGTGTTTCGGCAGAACCCGCTAGTCGGCACAATGAAGATGGGCTGGAGTCACTCTTACTATAACACAGAGACCTGGGAGACAATACTACGGTATACATTTTAACGCGTTGAATGCGCTACAGTGTATGTGGTGCATTTATCAACATGTTAATAGTATGGCAACACAATCTGCTCTGAAGGAATTTTGTATTTTCATCCCTTTAGTGAAAAGCTGGGAAATCGGGTACTTATCAAAACCGCCGGAGATGAGTTGACCCCCAAGGTAAGAATACTGCAGTGGCGGGTTCATTTCATGGCTTTTGTGTGTTCGATTGATGAGGTTACAACTTTGACGGACGTTCTCTCCTTTGACAGAATATAATCTGCAACGTTTTTATTTTCAGCATTGAAGGCTTCGTGAACATCTCACGCAGGGTGTTGTTGGTATCTACTCAGGTTTCAGCCGTCAGCGCTGTGGTGAACTGGGGGACCAGTCCAAAGGCCTTCGTCTTCCGCAACTACAACCACAAACCAGGCTCTCTGAGTCGCTATGCAGGAGGCTCCCTTTGTGAAATGTGGCAGGCAGTGCGAGCATCATCAGCCGCCCCGGGATACTTCCAGGAGTTCCCCTTACAAAGTGACATTCACCAGGTAGGAAGCGGCTGTTGTTCGGTGGGGTTTTAAGTGTTAGACTCAAAATGATGCTGCAAAAGACAAAGAAATGTAATAATTGAGTGATAAAAATTCACTCAATTATCATATTTTATCACAATAGTTTATTCGGGGGTGGGCTGAACCTTCAGTGTTCAGCTCATTAACAACAAGACTGCTAGGGATCAATACCTATCTTTTAGTTCTTTGACTGAGAGAGAAGTAATCGACCATTAATAGCTTAAAGTGCATATGACATTAACAACAATATAACATTAGGAGTATAATAGCTACTCCTAATTCATGGAGTATAATTTAGAGGAACACAAAACTTGTCCTTTACATTTTTAGATACATTTCTGTCTCATTGAAGGATGGAGGAATCATCTTGAACAATCCCTGTGCCTTGGCTGTCCACGAGAGCCGTCTGTTGTGGCCCAACCAGCCTTTCCAGTGCGTGCTGTCTCTCGGCACCGGTCGCTATGACAACGCCAAGAGGGGACCTGCCACTTCCACCAGCCTGAGGGCCAAAATCAGCAACTTGATCAGCAGCGCTACCGACACCGAAGGGGTCCACACCCTGTTGGACGATCTGCTGGCCCCAGACGTGTACTTCCGCTTCAACCCCACGTTGAGCGCCCTGGTGTCCCTGGATGAGAGTCGGCCGCGGGAAATGGACCAGCTGCTGAGAGACACCCAGAACTACCTGGAGAGAAACCAGACCAAAGTGGCAAGGCTCTGTTTGGTGCTCGGGCCGGAGCGCTCGGCTGCCAGCAGAACTAAGGACTGGATGAGTGAGCGGGCCTGGGAGATGAAGCAGAGATGGTTGTGAATATACTTTTTTTGCTAATTACAAAACTAAAATGGGGAACATGGTGAACACTAGCTGACAAACCAAGACATATTGCTTTTAGCAGGTTAGCATAATGCTGATTAGCAACTCATAGTAAGGTATAAACAATTTAAAATATAATATAATTTGACCTGAAATAGTGCATTCATCCCTCAAGTCTGTTTTCTTCTGTTCTATGTGCTACAAGGATTGTGAGTTGGGACAACATCTATATGTTTATCCCAGTTATCTTTGTTTATTGCAGTTTTCTGTCTTTGGCTTGTGTGAAACTGGCCCGTCACCATAAATGTGTGATGTGAAGCTTTTGCAGCAAAACTCACGATTAAAAAGCAGGCTATGAGGGGAGGATCATTAAGTTACAGCCCACTAAACGACAGGATGCATCAGCCCTCAGAGATAGTTCAACAATCCCCACGATCACATCTCCACGTGATGTTTCAAATCAAGTAGAAGACGGTTTAAAAAGAACCAAAGAAGCCAGATAGTTGCTGCTAAGTTCATCAAGGTTTGACATTTAATGTTTTTCTGCTGTTTTGTCCGCTTCTTGTTCTACATGCAGGCTAACGTAAACCAAATCAATAGGATTTTGTAAACAAGCCTAACTTATCATGCACTTTATTAAAAAAGCTATGTGTAATGTGACAGAAGTTCTTATCTGATTGTTGCACTTCTCAGTGTTGATGAATGTGATATCAGCTGAAATAAGCTATAAATTATTCTTTCATGTGACATCACACATTACATCACAGTTGTATGGTATTGTGAAGTAGTGGATTGTGCCATCATATGTTTTTAATAAATGAATATTCATAAAGACTTTTTTCTTTTTGTTCCTATACTAATCACACAAAACACCATTTTTTTCAGCACTATAAATAAATTGCACTTTATCAACAGGGCAAACGTCATCCAGTCACAGATTTTAGGAGTTAAATCCCCCTCCTCCTCCCCATGCGTGTGGAAGCTGCGTCCTCCCTTTCCACAATGGGCCGACTTTGTTCCTTGACAAAAACGCTTTGTGTGAGAGAGTGTGCGTTCGTGCCAGCCAGGGTGAAGATACAAGGTCAGTAACCCACTCCCCATCTAACGCGATGCAAATCAACAGCACACATCATAACAACACAGAAAAGATCTGATCTCAAGCTGCAGCTGGAAGAGACCTTAACCCAAAACCTAAACTAATGTATGCCATGTGATTGCATTACACAACTCATTCTCATCACTGCAGCAGTTATGTTATACTTACGATTTCCCAATGGATTTGTTGTTATAGGTTTTCTATAGGTTCGCCAGGCATGTGACCCAGACTGATGCAGTGAAAAATAATACAAATAGCAGATGCGGCTAGAAAAAGTGAGGCAGTAGAAAAAGGGACCACGGAGCGAGCAGAAAGAGAACACTTTAAACAACACCGGAACGTAAGACCTCTAATAATCACCGTTTTACTTTTTGTGTGATTTGGAATATTCACCGTAGGATCAAAATGACAAAGAATTGAGTGCTTTAGAGTAGCATAACTGTTTCGCCATGTGAAGGAGTGCTTTAGTTCCGCCAGCTGTTACTCAAGACGGCTCTCAATGGATCTCAAGGTTTTAATGATGTCATAGTGTGAGTTCAGAAGTGGGACGGGTCTGCATGTGCATCAGCTGATTTGTATCGCAGTCAACACAAGCTGGTTGAGCGTTCATTCAAAGCCTTGGCTCTTTTAATGGCAATGTAATACAGTTTATGCAACAACAAGTGTAACAGACTGTCCTAATAACAAGAACTGACCTTCTTGTAGAGCCACAATGAGTTGGATGATTATGAATTTGAGTATTAAATAATTGGGCAAAGTAGAATTGGTTTCAGATATTGATTTCCTCCTCAGGATTAATTGTATTACCTAGACAGGTGCATCTTGCTGTTTTATAACCAAATACATAAGAAACTAGTAACATAGTGACATTAGAGACTCAACTGTATTTTTTGTTTGATTACCTAGATGCTGTCTGACAGAGCAGCTGCAACGTGGCCGTTGACTCTTATTCGTGTTACAGGAAGGTCTTGAGAAAATGTTCTGCTGCTGGAGATTACCTCACTACAAAGAGAGCTCAAGTCTGTGAGACAATAATGTTTTGATAGCACGGTGGTGACTCATTGCAGCTCAGTGTCCTGGTGTCTCCTTCTGGCCTTTTTCCTGAGTGCCCACTAAACCAGTGACGTCAAAATGCAAATGAAAGGTGCTCAAAGTCTGAAAAGGCAACTTGTGCGGTTGAATATCTCCCTCCTCCCCACCCGTCCACATGCCATCTGCTTTTACCCGAGCCCCGGGCACACGTGCCGGAGGAGACCCGTGAGCATAGAGACCTTCTTGTTGCCACTGAGCTGCCTCTGTCTGTCCCTCTGCCTCTTCACTGTGCAATCTGGTGCATGGCACTGATCATTGCTCACTGCCAGGCCTGCTTTAGTCCACTGTATGGGGTATGGGTGGGGTGGGGTGGGTTGGGGTGGGGGAAGCATGTCAGGTCGTGCTTCACTTGTGAACACAGAGGAGGGCGTCACGGCCAGAGGATGCAGAGCTGTGGAAGTCCTAACAGTCCATGTCACTTTATGATAAGGAATAGCTTTACGCAAACTATACAATCGTTATTAGCCGCCCAGATACAAAGGACAGGTTTATTTGCATCTGTAGGTAGAGACCCTCCCCTCCCTCCCCCCGCTTCCTTACCACCAATCCATTGTTTAGCCCAGTCAGTGCTGGTTTGTACGTGCAGCCCCGTGTGGATGCCTGAAAGCCTACACAGATCAGGACTGTCGACAGCCTTGAGAAGTCTTTTGTTTTACACAAATACAGCTTCTCCTGTGGCTTTTTCTAGAAAAGACAACAGCTGCTCCCCCCCCCCCACCCGTAGGATTTTCTCAGCTGAATGGCAATTACCTCTCCGTACACCGGGGATGTGCATGTGAATGGCTGAATTTAGAATAAAGAAATTTCCAAATGGGATGGTTTTGAAAAAGTACCATGAAAGATAGGTACAAATATTTAAGTATTTTATAGAAGGTCAATGGCAGAAATGCCGTCAGACTGTTATTGAAAATGATATGAATGACAATTTCCATCTTTAGTCAGAGCTACTGCACTGGAGTCACGCGCCACACGTCAAATTCACATGCGAGAAACAAACATGGCTTTCATTCACTTGTTTCCCCGGCTCCTTTCAGTTAACAATCAAGCCCACATTTTGATGTCATCAAAACCAACAGGAATGCCATGCTTTGAGTACTAAAAACCAGGCCTAAGAAAAACATGAGCTGCCTTCCTCAGTTCAAATCATGTTAAATGCCCCACCTTAACGGTATAATAAAGTTTAATTTCTATGTGTTTATCGAGTGAGCAAACGTCGGGACCGTGCTTGGCTGAGATAATGGTGTTCACAATGGTGAGAGCCTCGTCGGAACACTCGACTGATGTGGGTGAGGAGTAGGTGGCGTACGGCGCTCATTCATCATTCATGAGATGGGTGGGCAGAGTGTACGAGGCAGTGACGGACAGAAACTTTCTTGCTGAAGTCTATCGACTCTTCCAGGGTTCTCAACCTGATATTTGAAGGACAGAGGCTTTACTTGGCGCACTGTGCAAACAACAGTCATTTTATTTGGTTGTGAAGAATCTTTGGAGTTATTGATGCATCGGGGAAGCCAAAGGGATGGGGAGGAGAGAGCCATGATTTGAGAGCGGTAGGTACTGACAACTATTTGTCCTTTTCATACTAAAGACTTGTGGTTCATTGTTGTAATGTGGTCAAAATATTTGAAATGTAATCTAATTTAACACTTTTACTACAAATGACTCAGGTAGGCCATCATGGGATACAGTTTAAAAACCTTTTCTTATATTTGTACTGTGTGAGAATAATCGGTTAGTGGAGATATAATTTAAATATCTGTTTGACTCTCAACGAGTTATTGAATTATTCAACATTTTATTATTATTTCTGCGAAATCAGTGCAGGTAGTTTTACTTTGATACTTGAATTCTGCTGATACTTGAGGCTCTTTTACCTGTGTGGGATTTTCAAAGACTTCTACTCAACAATTCTTAAATTATCATTTTCCTCCACTGTGGGATTTTCATTGCAGCAAGCACATGAGGCATTTATGAAATATGTTATAAGAAGTTTGATTTATAGGGATTTGTGTGAAATTCATCTGTGTGACATGACATACAGTCGATATTCTGTTTTTTTTTAACTTACATTTAGTAACAGGCGAACTGGTGAAGGAAGAAGTTGCCTGGTTCCATGTGCTGTAAAGATGGGGACTCTGGTCGAACCAGCTCTGCTGCTTCTTTTATGGCAGAGTGTTTGGGCTTTGGACGTCCCTCTGGAAAGTGAGTCAGTTATTGAACATGCATGTCATTTATGACACGCCTCTATTAAACTAAGCTGAGTTACTGCATGTCTCTGCCTACAGTCAGGCAGCCTCCGACCATCATAAAGCAGTCGATGAAGGACCATATTGTTGACCCCAAAGACACCATGGTCATAGAATGTGAAGCCAAAGGAAACCCTCATCCCATGTAAAAGCCGACGTGGCCCCCTTTCGAGTCATGTGTTTCCACTCATATAATTATCTCCAAACCGCCTCACCGTTTTTCCTGTCTTCTTCCACCTTTTTTGCTCAATAAGTTTCTCGTGGAGACGGAATGGGAAATATTTCAACGTGGCACGTGATACTCAAGTTTCAATGCGCCGGCGTTCGGGGACCCTGGACATCTATGCCTGGAACAATCCGGAGCAGTATGAGGCCGAGTATCAGTGCATTGCCTCCAACGCGTACGGATCTGCATACTCCAACAAGATCCGACTGCGGCTATACAGTACGCTCATTAATGGAACTATTAGAGAGACGACTATTTGCATACAGGACTCAGGACCTCATTGGGTCCAGTGACACAATATGGACCTAACTTTAAAATGAAACGCAGCTAGAACACCTTTTCAATTAAACATTTGAGAGTAAAAAAAGAAGCTTTTTTATATTAACAATATAATATGTTGTGTAGTAGAGATACAAAGCATATATATCTAGTTATGTTGCTTTGACACTTTAAGATCGCTTTATCTGAGCATTCAGCTTCTTCACTCTTTAGTGTTTTGTGGATATTTTCTTAAAATGCGATGAGAGTTGTACAAAAATACGACAAATGAACGAATGAGTATAACTAAATTACGTATTGTGGTTTTGGCAGTAAACCCCAAACTAATAATGTGTTATTTTCTGACATTCTGTCTGTAGCCCTCAGACTCAGGCCAATTTTTTCCTCCCAAATATACAAATCTTGAAACACACAAAGTCCCAAATATATACTTTTCTTTTATTTAAAAGAGCTTGGTGGTTCAGTTTTTTTTTTTTTAGCAAAATGACCGAAACAGGATTCTAATATGTATTTGAGAGGGACTACTTTCAGATGCAGACAGTGACAGCCAAACTGCATCACCTCGACGGTTTACGTGTGGTTGGCTGTAAATAAATTACACCAAGGCTCATTGATCTTTTTTTAGTATAATGTTTGGACGACGATGGAGCTTTATGGCACAGAAAATAAATAAACTGGCTTCAGCTACAGAAACAATATATGATGGTGGGAGGAACTCATCGCTTGTTTGTATCTTTTCTCGAGAGTGTTAGCAGACAAGTCCCACAAAATACTATATTATAAAAGTGTTTTGCTGTACAGAATTGTGTTGTGCACTGTTGTGAAAATCCCCCCCTCGCTGCTCAGTGGAGACGTGTGTACTTCTGTTTTGCGAAGGAGCTCCTGTTTGGCCAAGGGAAGTCCTGGAGCCGCTGGTGGTCAGCGCTGGCTTGCCTCTGGTCCTGTCTTGTGACCCGCCACCAGGCCCTCCGAAACCTGAAACCTACTGGATGTCCAGCTGTAAGAGTCTTCTACAGTTACGTCTCCAGATGTTTGAAACAATAGGTTTCAACAAGGAGTCATTTGAATAATCCACATCCGTCATTAGAATTAGAAGTCTCGAAATTCCTCTGAACTTATTGTATTATTGTATTTCTGTCATCTCAGGCTCCTACGCGAGGCCTTTTAACTGGCCGGTTCAGACAGCTGTCCCCACCATGCACCCTGTGCGGCCGGACCGCAGGGTATCCATGGGAATAAACGGAGATCTGTATTTCTCTAACGTCCAGTTCAATGACTCTGCTGCCGATTACTGCTGCAATGCCCGCTTCCCCTACAAGAACGTCATCCAGCAGAAGATGCCAGTGGTGGTTAAGGTGCTGACGAGTGAGTATGACTGCGTGTTCACAGTGTCCATCTGCTTTTTGGTTCACAAAATCATCCTACTTTCCTGTAAAGTTTTGAATTATTTTTATCTGTAACATAATCCATCTTCGCTGAAGGAACTTTATTCAAATACTGATAATCTGCATGTGTAGATGTCAAATACACAAGCACAGCAAATAATCAATGCAATGGAAGTAAAGGAAACACAAAAAAACACAGATTAGATTTAGATGTATGAGGTTTGGCCTCTTGTGTTTTGCTGTGGTGATTTGCAAAGGATGAATGTAAAAAAACACAGGCACTCCATATAGAACACGTTTGAAGCTATTGGAATTGTTGACTCACATATTGTCTTATCTAACAATTTTCTAAGACATATTAGATCATCTTTATTTGTGTGTATTTTTTCCTGTTGATCTTTATTCTGCATCTCAGTTTGCTGCCAACCAAATATATAATTTGGAACTGATTTAATGGTGTACAGACTTTTCTGTTCATCTATGACACCCTAATGTTTTCCAACCAAACTGCTAACTTTTTACCCATTAACTTTTGTTTTTTTTGCAATACTTATTGCTATAAACTAAAACATTTAGCTTTCTCCTATACTCCAATTGTGGAGTCGGTGTCCTCTCAGATTTCACGGGTCAACTTGTCTGGTCAGACGGGGTTTGTGAATGAACTGGTTTTGGTTTGTTTTCCCTGCAGTTCGCACGGTGGCCGAGGCTGCCCCCACCTGGCTGTCTCCCACAGGCTCGTCCAGCTCCATACTGGTCCTGCAAGGGGAGGAGCTGCTCCTGGAGTGCATCGCTGCAGGAGTGTAAGCGTCAACGCAAGATCACAAGATATTTTGTAACTGAAGATCTTTTTTTTTTATAGAATATCAATGTTGCAGTTAAAAAAATCCACTCTGTCAATCTTTTCTCTTTGATATAACGTTGACTCTGATTTCATGAAAGTGCTCCTGTGTAAAGCCTTGTTTCTCATCATCAAGGCCGACTCCTCGTATTGCATGGACCAAGAATGGTGACGACCTGGGGGCATCGCCGCGCATTAAAGTAAAGAACTTCAACAAGATGATTCAAATCCAAAAGGCGTCCTTTGATGATGTGGGTGAATACACTTGCACTGCTACCAATAAGATCGGATACATCGAGCACACAGTAACCGTCAGGGTCAAAGGTGAGGGTCGCGGAAACACTTTGTAACTTCTTACTTCACATCTTTAAAGTAACTTTTAAAGATTCACTTCTACTCGACAGCGGCTCCCTTCTGGCTGGAGAAACCCACCGATCTGGTCTTGGCCCCGGAGGAAAATGGACGCCTCTTGTGTCAATCGGATGGGGCCCCGCGTCCCACAGTCAGCTGGTTCATCAACGGAGAACCTATTGAAGGTATGTATGTATGTATTTTGGAATGCACGCATTCCCGGCTGTCGAAGTGAATCCAAACAACCTTGGTCTGTTTTGTTCTTCCAGTTGCTACACCTCAGCCTAACAGACAAGTGTCGGGAGACACACTGACCTTACGCGCTGTGACCGCTGAAAACACTGCAGTCTATCAGTGCAACGTTTCCAACGAGTTTGGGTACTTACTGGCCAACGCGTTTGTCAACGTGCTACGTAAGTTACCGATTCCGCTCTCCAATGCCATTAAAAGTGTAAAACATTTGTATAAATATTAATTATTATTATTAAGAAATAATGATAACAATAATTGTGATATAATAATAAAAATACAGGTAATACAATGAACATTAATATAATATAATAACAAATTACACATACACCTGTAGGATGTTATGAAAATGTTTAGAAATTAAGATTCAGATGAATTTCATGTTGGGAACCTTGTACTACATATGCAGTTGAAACAGGTTTTAAAGCTACTAATGTAAAATGTCATGACATCAAACAGACAAGGCCAACTAACATGGGCTGTACTTTTCTATGAGATTTAATAGTCATGACAAAGTATGAAAGAAATATTTTAAAAAAAATAACTTTTACATAGTATAATGACGACAAAAGATATTCAACTTCACCATCACATTGACACACAAATGATTTAGTATTTTGGAGCTGTAAGTTAATATATATTATTTAAGACATATTTGTTTTTAAAGTTTGGTGCAGGAATGTGTAAAATATTGAACCCCCGGGTGTGCATGAAGTTCAATATTAAAAGTATCACTATAAATGATCAATGTTTATCCAGACGCAACACCACGTATTCTGGGGGCCAGGAATGAACTCATCAAAGTGATCGAGGGTAGTCGTCCCCTCTTAGACTGCCGCTACTTTGGTTCTCCAGTACCTGAGTTGCGATGGTGAGAAGATGCTGTCAGACATGTAATTGCAAAGAGTGTGTTCAATCATTGGCTCACAGTTTGTGTGTGTGTGTGTGTGTGTGGTTTTTTGGGTCCGCATGAACAGGTCCAAATACGGACAGGGTACCCTTGAAGGGAATCGTTTTAAGACCCACCGTAACGGGACTCTGGAGATCAAACAAATACGGATAGAAGATCAGGGAACATACCTGTGTGTAGTCAGCAACGTCGCAGGAAGAGATGAGAGTCAAGTCCGGATAGAGGTCAAAGGTGAGGGTCACCAAGTTTTATAGTAAACACATTTGACTTTTTTTTGATTGTGTGACCCATCATGTGTTTTTGCGCACACCTTTCTCAGAGCCCACTTTGATTGTCACGAGACCGCAGAGTATGAAAGTCATCCGCGGGAGCGACGTGCGCTTTGAGTGTGGTGTAAAAACGGACGTTACTACTCCTGTCACAACCACCTGGATGAAAGACAAGAAGCATGTCACCCTTGGCTGGAGGTACGTCTTTCAATGATATAATTGTCTCTGTTAAATTACATTTTTGTTTGAGCGTGAACCCATCAGTGTCTTGAGCAAACCAGTTTGTGTTTTTTTGCATCGAAAGGATTTCTCTGGATGAATCGAATCTAGTCATCACCAATGCAAACAGAGGCGATGAGGGTAATTACACCTGTGTCATCAAGAGTGAGATGGAGCAGAAGTCTGCCTCGGCACGTCTCATGGTGATGGGTATGACAAGTCTTAAATAAATTACAATTGTCAACCAAATGACACGTTTGGCTTTTTAATCACGTGTGTGTGTGTGTGTGTGTGTGTGTGTGTGTGTGTGTGTGTGTGTGTGTGTGTGTGTGTGTGTGTGTGTGTGTGTGTACGTGTGCAGACCGTCCAGATCCTCCCACCAAGTTGGAGTTGTCCGATCCATATGAACGCAGTGTAAGACTCCGTTGGGTACCTGGAGAAAGCAACCACAACCCTATAACAGGTAAGAAATGTTCAACTGAATAGTTAATAAAGTCACAGGAATACAAAAGATTTATTTTTCTCCATTTCTTGCTGTGTTACAGAGTACTTAGTGCAGTACGATGATGATGACTGGTTGCCCGGTAAGTGGAGAAACCTCTCAACGTATCCGGGGAACCTCAACTCTGTCATCCTGCATCTCACACCTTTCACCTACTACGAGTTTCGGGTAATCGCTATCAATGAAATCGGAATGAGTCGCCCCAGTCGTCCGTCTACACGCTTCCAGAGCAGCGGTGCTCGTGGGTTTGATTTTCCTTAAATACACACTTGTTGTCAGACGCATATTTTAAGTTGGTAAACAACCATTTTGTGCAGTAAAAGGAAAAGTTTGTTTTCTTGCAAAGATGAGAGGATTGATACTCTTGTGTGTCTAACATGATCAATAAATTGTGTCATCAATCTTTTTATCTTACTCGCAAGAAATGCAATGAGGGTTTTTTCCCGCAGTGCAGACCTCTTTTCTTGAAAGCTAACCACCTTGCTTCCCTGCACAGCCCCAGATGTCATTCCAAAGAACGTCAAAGGGGTGGGCACATGGAGGAATAACATGGAGATCAGCTGGGAGGTAAAGAACTCATCGAAAACACTTTTCAGAACTATCTCGACTGCATATTTTCATTTCCATCACAATGAGTCAACTATGCTTTCAGCCGCTGACGTACAGACAGTGGAACGGGCCCCACCTGAAGTATTTGGTGTGGTGGAAAAGGAGAGATTCCCGAGAGGAGTGGAAGAACGCGACCACTAAATGGTTAAAGTACTACATCTACGATGCAGATACCTTCACTCCGTATGACATCAAAGTCCAGGCTGTCAATGATTTTGGATTGGGTCCAGAGTCCCCTGTTGTCACCGGTTACTCCGGGGAGGACCGTGAGTGCCTTTTTTTTTCCCCCGTGCGCTGCTCTTTGTTAACAGTTAACAGTTAACTTTAGAAACAAGGCTGGAGTTGGAGCTGAGAAGAAAAGGTGTACGACCAGATTGTTTGGCAAGTAGTCAGTTAAAAAGCCCCTTTGAACCAAATTAAAAGCTCAATTATTTTTCAGATGATAGCCAGCAGGTTCTGAGATTATATTTCTTCTAATATTGTCCGCCTCTTTAACTTCCCACACAGTTTTTTGCAAACTGTCTCTCAAGCAGAGTCCAGAAAGCTTCCCGAGGTCAAAACGTTGTGCCATTTATAGAGACAAAGTCTTTCATACCTCATATAAACCCTGTCAAGGTGCATGACAGATAAGGACAAACCATTCAAATATCAATTCTGACCATTGAGCAAGCCTGGGATATTGTCTTTCTCCACTAATTTTTCCTGTTAATTGTGTTACTTATCTCTGAACTCTTATCCACGGGGAGTGCTTGAGCCTTATCACCTCCCTTTGTGTTCCCCGATGAGCAAAGACTAAGCCAACTATGTTTCGCTCAGGTCCCTTAACGGCCCCCCTGAACCTGAGAGTGTCCGACATCGAGAGCACTCAGGTGACGTTGCACTGGGATTCAGTGACACGCGGCTCAATGATGGGGGAACTGAAAGAATACAAGGTCTGGGTTTACTACATTTATGACCGAATAATGGCAATACAGATTACATTTATGATGACAACCTTTTCCTCCATGAAGGAAAAACTTGTTTATTGTCTGGAAAGTAGCAAGACATTTCCTGGTTAACTTTAGATTAAGGTCTCATAAGGCAGGTATCACATTTATTTTTTTCAGTTTATTTATTTAAACAAAATTTAGCGAGTCTTGTTTTAATGGTGTTTTTTTAACCAGTAATTTTAGTGATAGCCGGCTTGGATGTGGCTCATTTTTGACTAGTTGTTACAACCTGAGACTTTAGTACAGAGATGTTGATGTAAAATAAATCAAATATCCACTTATTCACACTATTTATGCTTCATATGTAACTGAAATTCATTCTTGTAAAACTGCTACCAAAAAGAAAGCTACAGTGCTTTCAGCCTGATAAGAATTCTGGGTTGCTTCTCATCTCTCAGGCCTACTACTGGAGGGACAGCAGCCAGCTGGGGTGGCTGAGGGTCAATAGAGGAATGAAGTCCAAAGCGTATCCAGACAATCATCCAGAACCCTCGGGAGTTCTCACCGGGCTCGTCCCGTACAGCAACTACAAGTTGTATATAGTCGTGGCAAACAATCGATACGAAGGGCCGCCCAGTAATAATATCGTCTTCTCAACGCCGGAAGGAGGTAAGAAAGAGTGAAAAATTGAACAAGGAAGGAACAACTGAACAAATGTGATGTTTGTCACCCCCTGCTGTGTTTTTGTCTGTAGTACCATCTGCTCCCAGATCATTCAGGATCCAACAGAGACACCTGGACAGCATTTATGTCGACTGGGACCTTCCGGCCGAACCCAACGGTGTCATTACCGGATATTCCCTGAAGTACCAGACAAGTAACCAAACTCGACATCTGAAACACTGCCAAATAACTCACAGTCTAGTTTCCTCGGAGAAACAGCGTGGCTTTTATGATAGAAAATAACCCCACATATTGCCACATGGCACTGAGGTCCACGGCTCTCGAGCACATAATAGCACACTTACAAATGCACGTAAAAAACAAAATACCGCTGAAGTGTGTTCTTGAGAGGGTAATAAACACTTGTGTAGGCAATCTCCGAGCAGGCAAGCTATACGCTCGGTTGTATGGACCCCATCCGACAATCAAGGGCGCTCTTAAACACCATGCCGACTCTCTCCGCAGTGAACGCCACCAGGGGAGAGGAGTCGCGGGTCGAGGAGCTCACTCCAAACGTAACAAGCTTCTCGGTCCGGCGGTTCGACCGCTACACTCGTTACAGATTCTCCGTGGCGGCACAAACTCGCATCGGGACGGGGGAATGGCACACTGAGGAGTCACCCCACTACACCACTGAAAGTACTTCACTGCCACACACCCGGTGGTCTACCAAACAAACACTTTTAAGTGGAGGGTGGATGCTGGTTCTGATGTTTTGATTAACGCGCGTGCTTGTGTGTTTCCCAGCGTACGCGCAGGACCAGGTGGACATCACCACTCAGGGGTGGTTCATCGGGATCATGTGTGCCGTAGCTCTCATGGTGCTCATCCTACTCATAGTCTGCTTCATCAAGAGGAGCCGAGGGGGGAAATACCCGGGTACGTTGGCGAGTCTTCTCGTAATGCCCGATAGCAGAGTGCCGTGTCTCTTATCACAGTGTAGCTTGCTGTAATTTCAGTGCGGGAAAAGAAAGATATTTCCATGGAGCCGGTGGATGACAAAGATCAGGAAGGGTCGTTTGACTACAGGTAAGCATCACAGTGGACTTCAGTCCACCTGGTGTTACGCAACAGAACCCACTAATGGCCGAATTGACAAAGAATGCAAAGCACCGTTGATAGCATGAAAAGCACATTACTTTGTAATTAGTCATTTTTAAATACTTTTGATAGATTGGGCACTTTTTATATCCACTTTTGATGGCTGGCAATCTTCTTCGCGGCCTTCCTGGCGCATTGCTTTGTGTGTTTTCACCAACCTTTGCTCTGTTGGATAATAGGCGGTCCCTTTATCACATCACATGCTTGCATGTGCACAATACAAACAAAATTAGGCCCCACTGAAAAACATTGCTCTATAGCCCTATTAGTTGTGACTACTTAGTTGTGAAAACTAAAAATATAATTACATTTGTCCATGAACTGCACAGATACAAACGGCAGAATGCATTGCCTTAATTACGATCAATCAAACTTGAAATATTTCTTTTTGTTCTACAATTCACGCCAAGCCTTTTTTTTCTCCCCAAACCTCAACCCTGTTCTTTTCCCACTGAACCACTCAAGGTCTCTTGAAAGGTAAGAAAAGACCAAATAATGACACATTGACAAAACTCATTTGAACAGTATGGATATATTAGTATACTCATAGCGTAACATTTGAACTGTAACAAGTCTTTCATGGGTGACGGACAAATGAAGCGAGATAAAATCACACAAATGATCATCTCATAAAAGCTATCTTCATGTTCTAGGATAGCACGTATCTCCACCCTGCCCTACCCACGGCGGTATGTACACGAACATTCTAAATGCATTGACACATCAGGCATAATAGAACGCTTTATCCTTTCCTTATCATAGTGCTGACATGATGCACCACAAATTTTGTTTGTTTGCGCTACTTTGTAGAGAGGAGGAAAGGGGGCTTCAAAGAGGCCAGTCGTCCATGGAGGCTATGATGAAGCGGTCCGACAGCGACGACAGCCTGGTAGACTACGTCGAGGGAAGCGAGATACCGTTCAACGAGGACGGCTCGTTCATCGGCCAGTACACAGGAACCAGGAGAGACGTCAGGGAGTTGGACTTTGGTGGGACACTGGAGCTCCACTCGTCAGTGAATACCATCTACTCGCTGGCGTAAAAAAACTCAAAAGTCAAACTGCCTTTCTGGTTATCCTGTGACTCTGCTTGTACCCTCCACCTTAAATTCCGAAACATGTGGTGCCTGTGCGGCGTGTCTGCAGAAGGGGAGGTGCTACGACCCCGTGTCCAATGCAGATTAAGCAACTTTCCTGTATTTAAAGAAAATGGAAAAAATAATTGGGACAATACAAGAGATGAGATGCTCGTTCATCTGATGGAATCTAGTAAAGCAAGCTTTACTTTCTGTGTTTTGTATTGTGTTTTGTGTAAATAAAATGCTATTTGTTTGTGCTTATGGATGAGTACGTCTTTAGTTATCCTACCGATGGAGGGACCCTGGCTACATCCAAGGAGAAGGAATAGATCAGTTTATAATGTTGATAAAAGCAGTAACAAGGATCAACTTTACTACTCTTTGTACATATTTTTCTTTCAGCTTATTTCAATAGTTTCAACAGTAAGAGATTTGTGTTTTTTCATGTGTGATTAAAATAAGCTGCATACCACACTTTTTAAATATCAAGGGAGCAACAATATACTCCGTAAACTTAGATTATGTCGTCTTTGTTTTATAAACTAGGGTTAATGGTGCAATCTGAGAGTATAAAAGTGTTGTTGGTGATAGATAAGGACTATATCATTAACCGTATGTGGACTAATACTTGGTCTGCATTGTCACTGCTGAACCAAGCTGAACCCATTCAGGGAATCAGAAAGCCGCCATAAACCAAATGGTAATTCAGAAGTAGCTTATGTTTCTCTATGAGGTTGACAGAACTGTGTCCGCCTTTACCTCACTATGGAGATCATTCATCTTGATTTAACAACTTTAGTTTATGGACTCACAACGTCCTGTGTACTGCCACAGTTGTATCGTTAGATGGAAATAAAGTGGAAATATTCATTTCTAGCATGTTTGTTCTGACTGTGAATATTAAATTCAATCTGTTTCAATCACAGAATAGCTTTAAGTGTAAGATAGCTTTCATTTCTGTAGGCTTCTTATGAAGCAATACAGCCAGAAGCCGGCTGGCTGGGTAAGCGCTGGTTTACTTGTGTTCAAAGCGAACAATACAAACCTAAGAGCATGTAGTGACAAAATAGTTAATAGAGACAATTCACTGTTTTGCTGGGGGGGTTTTCTCCAGTCATTGTGCAAAGCTAAATCAGCTTCATTATTATCACTAGTGATCCTTTTACTGTGGCGGAATCACTTTGTTTTTCAAACCACTTGAAGCAACACTTGAGCTCAGCTTATTGAACTCTGGCCTTTTTGCTGGCATCTAACTCATAGTTCCAACATCCACGTACAATGAGAATGATATCTTATCTGTGATGGTGTCTTACTTTTAACATTAATCAGGCCACTGATATGAATACTGTTATTACTGTGTCTCCTTGATTATAGGGGTGAATAACCATAAAGTATAGGTTAATATCCAATGATTTTATTTTGTTGGATTTTTAGCTAAGGTGTATTGACAAGCCCAGGGCAAACGGAACATTAAAAACTCATAATGTATCAAATTTGAATAATGATACTAATAATAATCTCACAAACTGGCCGCATGGTAAACAAGGGAGACTCACGCAACCAGGCAAGAGTATCTCTAAGACCACATAATAATAGGCAACAGTCATTTCAGTAGGGTAGGTAAGTAATGACATTCAAATTAGTCGCAAAGCCTCTTCTAAGGAAAAACTAGTGCTTGTTGTGAACATTATTAAACAGAGCATTATTCTTTTGTGGGAGCATACAAGCTGTTAAAGACTAAGATGAAAAAATGCACAGAGCCGATGTCTTTCCAAATGTCATGAGCTACGATTATTTTTTTCAAGAATCAACGAAATATAAATTAATACCTGTCCAGAAACTGAAAGGTTGGTCTGAGAACAAATAATCAGCAATAACTCAAGGACACTTCAGTTGCTGATACCATGGGAACAATTGTATACCTTATGTAATTTAAAATACAATTACACTATGTGTTTATGGATGTCAGTTTATCTGTGCGAATTGACCAGCTCCTTTAATCTCAGTGAATTTATAGAGGCCACTTCACAAACTCAATGTTTTTTAATCTAGTTTTATCTGGCAATAAAAATATTAATTATCGTCATCTGTCATTATCTCACTTCAGTCTAATGTGAACAACTTCACAGTGGTAATTGTCCATTTGCTGAACGGTGCATTGCATCTCTCTCACTCGGCCCTTTGTCCCTTTCTTATCATTTCTATAAAAAGGACTTCCAGGTGGATCATCGACATATGCACCTCGGAACAGGTAAGCCATCAGCAGACAGCTTATAACTGGTTGTTCTATTATGTGTAGCACTGCTCCTCTCTACAGCGTCTCAATTGTAAACTGGTTCCAGTCAAGAGAAACCTTATTGTAAGTTTAGAGAAGATTCATAATTATTTTGAAAAATTTGTATTGTTGCAGCTCTGAAGACAAAGACACAACATGGCTCGGCTAACAATCTTGGCCGGTAAGTTACAGTCTTTCATTTGTTTGTTCATTCCTTCAACTGTAAAACTATCTTGTGCAAAATTAAAACAAATATTAATGAAATGTCTTTTTGTTAAGGACTGTCCGTTCTGATGTGTCTCCAGATGGGTATGCATTTATTACTTAATTTATTCACCTTCAATTCTCATGACGTCAAAAAAATTAACTAAACTCTAAATATTTTTCCCATCTCCAAAAGTGTCTTCCACCAAACTGGTGTGCTACTTCACAAACTGGTCCCAGTATAGACCAGGTGTTGGAAAATATCTGCCTGCCGACGTAGATCCCAACCTCTGCACACACCTGATCTACGCCTTTTCCATAATTAGCCATTCCAATGAGCTGGCGCCCTATGAGTGGAATGATGATATTCTCTATAAATCATTCAATGACCTGAAGAATAGGTGAGTTGTTCTCGCCTGCATTCTTCAAGTTGGATATTTTTGCGTGTCTGGTTAAGTGTTGTCTTTCTGTTTTACTTATGAGAAGATAAAACCCCCCCACAAAAAACAGCCACAGGTATCTGTGGTGGTGGAACTTTAAGAATTTTAATTAAAAATGTCTTTTCCTCTTGTGTGCGTAGGTAAGTGTTTTTATTATAACTTTTTTCAAAGTGTTTTGAGAAACAGATCATGAGGAATGAATGAGATATTGAAAAAAAAGAAAAAATACTACAATTTTATTTCTGAAATGAAAGAAGAAAAAACGTAACACCTCCTGGAGAAGAACACTTTGCATGCAGGTCCTTTACTCCATCTTCTAATCACTTAATTCAATTCAATTAATTGTTAATCCACACATTTATCCTGCATAGAAACCCCGAGCTGAAGACTCTGCTGGCTGTTGGGGGGTGGAACTTTGGATCAAGACAGTGAGTACCCAGGGTTTTCAACAGCAAGGAAAATTAAAACCTATCACATGACAATGTGACCATCAGCAGCGTAGCTACATCCTTCTTTTTTACATGATTACAGATTTACCATTATGGCTTCATCACCTGCCAATCGCGAGAGGTTCATCCAGTCTTCCATCAAATACTTGAGACAGTATGGCTTTGACGGGCTGGACCTGGACTGGGAGTATCCCGGAGCACGAGGAAGCCCACCAGAGGACAAAAAGAGGTTCACAGTGCTCTGCCAAGTGAGTTTAAAAAAAATCTACAACCAACACAACATGATTGATGTTGATGTTGATTGAGCTTGAGCAAATAAAGCAATGCAAAATATTCTCCGACTGTACACATGTTTAGCCTAAATTGTTTCCTCTTGTATTCAGGAATTCCTCGCTGCTTTCAAAAAAGAAGCCGCTGAGACCAAAAGACCACGTTTGCTGCTTACAGCTGCAGTGGCTGCCGGGAAGGGAAACATCGACAACGGCTACGAGATCGCTGATGTCTCCAAGTAAGTTCCTGTGAGGTATTCGTTGCGTTTTAAGTTGATTAAAAGAAAATGAGTTCTATTTGGTGATATCCTGCTTCTCTAACAGGTTCCTAGACTTTATGAATGTCATGACCTACGACTTCCACGGAGCCTGGGACCCGTTCACAGGTCACAACAGCCCTCTGTACCGTAGCTCTCACGATCAGGATATCAACATCTACTACAATGTGGTGAGTGGAATTCTCGAACAGATTCTGACATTCTGTCCTCGGCAGGCGACGAGCTGAACGCCTTGTTTTTAACAAAAACAAAAATGCTTTTCGTTAGTGTGGATTGAAAAGTAAACTATGAAAACATAAAAAATTAGTGAGTCAAAAACCCAAGCGGCAAATGCACATTCCAAAACGAGTAATTCTGTAGTTGGCTTTCACCTGCTGGTGACCAGCTTAACCCTTGTTGAGCCGGGGAAGAGGGGGGAGGGGCCAACTTTGAATGTTTTTTTTATCAAACGCTACAATTTTAGGGAAATGCTTCTTTTTTATTTTCCTCTTCTCACAGGACTTTGCTATGAAATATTGGAGAGACAATGGTGCTCCCCTTGAAAAGCTCATAGTTGGAATTGCTACGTATGGACGCACATTTAGGACAGTATCTTCAGCGAGCGGCCTTGGAGTAGCAACCAGCGGACCAGCATCTGCCGGGTCGTACACCCGTGAAGCTGGGTTTTGGTCCTACTATGAGGTCAGTGAAGGTTCAACACAAGAGCAACAATAACAATATAATACATAACATAAATGAAACAATTAAATTACAAGCCAAACATAAATAGTTTCAGGTGGTCTGAATGATATTTTCTTCTATTTTTACAGATTTGCACATTTCTCCAAGGAGCCACTGTGCACTGGATTGATGAACAAAGTGTGCCCTATGCCATTAAAGGAAATGAGTGGGTTGGGTTTGATAACAAACGAAGCTACCAAATCAAGGTAATTAACAACCTTATTTGGATATTTTTCTATCAACAATAGTTCAGAAATAATTCAACATTTCATTGGATTGTAACTCAAATATTTGTCATTATAGATGCTTACTTCATCTAAATGAACTTGGACCCACCCGCTAAACTTATAATAAATTATTGATTATACGAGATTCTTGGATCTGCTCAAAATAATGTGTTACACCTGCTATTTATACGTATTACAACGATAAAACTTGCATTATTAAATAAATGTATGTTCCATATAGGCACAGTATCTGAAAGAAAAGAATTTTGGGGGAGCCTTCATCTGGTCTCTAGATCTGGATGATTTTTCTGGACAGTTCTGTGGCCAGGGAAAATACCCCCTCATTAGATACCTGCGCTCCCTTCTGTATTCAGGTAAGTCAGACCTCACCCTTGCACAAGACATAAACAATCACATAAACATTCTATAATCTCTTGACTTAAAATACATTTTTATTTTACTAGATTTTCCACCTCCATTGCCTGTAACCACAAGCCGTCCAGAGATTACAAATCGCCCCGACAGCACACGTACTACTACTCCGACGACCACCATCGAGAAAACCACAACCGCGGGGGACTCTGGAAGTGCTTTCTGTTCCGGGAAGACTGACGGCCTCTACGCGAATGAGGTTGACCGCAACTTATTTTATCAGTGCTCTCAAGGAGTCACGTACCTCCAGCGGTGTCCAGTTAATCTTGTTTTCAGTAAAAAATGCAACTGCTGTGACTGGTCTTAAATAAACGAGACTCTTCATGAAACAAACAAACTGGCTTTTATTTCTAAAATGTTTAATATAATGTACATTACAAGTAAATAAAACGTGATTACATGATTTTGACATCAAACAAATGCAGGAGAAAAGGAGACTTCAGAATACTGCATGTACTCCATGTTGGGGAAATTTGAAATGAATGACTAATGAGTGACTAAGTCATGTGGACAAAAGAAAGTGTTGAAAAAAGTTGTGTTTCTATATTACTGCTTTCTACAGAGCTATTCAATTCTGTCTTTATCCATCTGTCAGGCCTGCAGTTTGTAAAACATAGTGTAACGCATCACAGGAGACAGGAGTCAACCCAAGCGCAGAGCGCAGATTTAATGAAGAACAGGTATACAGGGGTTAGGCTTAGTCGTATCCAAAAGACAGGCGGGAGGTCGATATCCAGGAGCACGGTTAAGGGCAAAGGTACAGTCAGGGATCAGGCAGGAGGCAACGAGGTCTGGAACAAAAAGGGGTCTTCAACGAGAGTACAAAACAGGATATCCAAATAACGCTCAGAATGAGATAACAATTACACGAGACTTCGCAAAGAACCCAGAGGGATAAGGGGTATATATTCAGACCAGCTTGATGGGGAACCAGACACAGGTGTGTAGGGATGAGTGGACGTGCACAACAGACAGACACACAGTGGAACAAACCAACACAAAACGGGACAGACCAACTGGACAGTAAACAGGGGGGGGAGTTTGGGGACCAGATATTGAAGGCCTCAGTACTCCGGGGAAGGGGAGCGCTGGATCGTGACACACAGATTCCCTCTCTAGCAAGAGAGTGACCCAAAACCCTTAAACAAGTTTTTTTTTTGTTTAATGCCACAATAAGTCAACAAAATGCTGTGATTTCAATATGCACGAGCTGCCACGGGGCAAATGTGCAAATCAGGAGTCCTAGACAAGGTTTTCAACAAAGCATCATTTATTAATTAAATTACAAGTACATATATTAGTACTAGTTTAGTGTGTTGCTAATATATTAGCAACACACTAAACATTTACATAATAAGACATAATCATTCATTTACAAATATCACCCGCATATAATCACTAAAAGATAAACCCCTACCTGGTTTTTCTGGTTGGTACATTCCTGAAGTGTTTACTGCTGCTGTTGCCCCCTTGGGGAAATATTTTGGCGAAACTCCCTGGGAAGAAGAAACAGGCAGGTAAGTTGAGGTGAGAAGTTGCAATTAGAAACTGCAATCGTTTAGCTTGCCATTAAGTAAACCATTGTTGTGCCACATCATTCTAGTCCATCAATCAGTTACTCACTGCACAGGTAACGGTGGTGCGTTCTTTGATCTGGTATCAAAGCCACAAAACATGCTTTGAGAATGCTGAAATAGTTTGTAGTTGAACGATTTTGAAGACGTACGAGATTTGAAGCCAATAAAGTGTATCAGTATAACTACGACTATTGGTTACAAAGGCTGGCTGAAATTGTTTATTTTATCGGCGTATCTTTGACTAGTTTCTGTTATTTGCCTTACTGATGACGCAACAGATGATGACACAGTAGTTGATGCAACAGCTGAGACTCAGAACAGTTTTGTATATTTACATATAGTTTCTTTCTAACAGTGCTCTCGACATGACAACAGCCCATCCAACCACAACGATCATGAGCAAGTTCATTCTGATCACAGGTAAGGAAAATAAAATGGTTAATTTGTTTTACAAAACATGTTTTTCCTAATATTTACTAACTAAATCTCTTACTTTGAAGGTCTTTGTCTTTCCTTTGGCAGTTTGGGTGAGTTTATGAGTTAAATATATTTACATTGAACAACCTTACTACTAACTGGACACAGTCACTTATTTATCCCCAGGATTAATGAAAACAACTATTCTTCTACTCCATGAATAGGTTTGTCATCTAGGCTGGTGTGCTATTTTACTAACTGGTCCCAATACCGACCTGGCAATGGGAAGTTTATGCCTTTAAACATTGAACCACACCTGTGTACTCACTTGATCTATGCCTTTGCTGGTATTAATCAGGCAAATGAGTTGAGCACCATAGAATGGAATGATGATGCACTGTATAACTCTTTTAATGGACTCAAGCAGAGGTCAGTCCATATCTTTCAGCATTATCTTGGAGTAAAATAGCGATTGAGGCAACTTTGTTTATATATTCCTATAGGAATCCAATCCTTAAAACACTGTTGGCAGTCGGAGGCTGGAACTTTGGAACACAAAAGTAAGATATTTAGCACGAAACAATCGATACAAATCAAAGCATTATAGGTTTGTCTTATTAAGCGTCCTCTTCCAAATTCTACACAGATTCACAACAATGGTGGCAACACAAGTCAACAGAAATACATTTATTAAGTCTTCCATCAAACTGCTGAGAAAATATGGTTTTGATGGACTTGATTTGGACTGGGAATACCCCGCTGCGAGAGGAAGTCCTGTGCAGGACAAGCAGAGATTCACGTTGTTATGCAAGGTCGGATGCAAAATAACTGTTCTGGTGTTCTAGTTATGTTGATTATTAACCACAAATGGACTTTACCATGTCGCCATGGTGTACAGGAACTGCTAGAGGCCTATCAGGCTGAGGGAACAGCAACTGGTCAGCCCAGATTAATGGTTTCTGCTGCCGTGGCGGCTGGGAAAGGGACTGTTGATGCTGGTTATGAAATTGGCGAGATGGCTAAGTACACCAAAATGTTACTCCTGACAGCCTCACCATGATTATATGTCATTGTGTTTTAGTCAACTCCATCTCATATCCATTTAATCAGGTACCTGGACTTTGTTAGCGTGATGACTTATGACTTCCATGGCACTTGGGAGACTGTGACAGGACACAACAGCCCTTTGTACAACGGAACCAATGACACAGGGGACCACGTTTTCTTAAATACTGTGAGTAAACACAACTATTTTTTACCTTACAGGGACCGCTACAGTCAACGCAGAATGAGAGTTCATTGTGGACGGCACGGCATCATGCTTAAAATCGACCATTTTCTGGAAATGTTTTTAAATTTGCATTTAATTGCATAGTCGTATTCTGTTTGTCTCCACGTTAAAAATTCAGGACTTCGCCATGAGATATTGGCGCGACAAGGGAACACCTGTAGAAAAGCTAAATATGGGCTTTGCCACGTATGGGAGGTCATTTCGACTATCCACTCGATCCAGTCAGGTTGGAGCACCAACCACTGGTCCTGCTGCTGCTGGTGGTTTTACAAGGGAAGCCGGGTTCTGGTCCTATTATGAGGTGAAACTGACAACAACTCAATAAGATTAACTCTGATAATGTTATATTTTAAACCCTTTTTACTAGGCAACAGAAAATATTATTTTATCATAAAGTTGTCTAACAGGATTTTACAATTACTAATGCGAAATTCACAGTGTATCTATTGCCTTATTAAGGCTCGCTTAATGGAAATGGAATCGCCTTAGACCTAAATGCCTAAATAAGTTTCCTCACTTAAATAAGTCTTCAGAAAAAGATTAAGAGGTTGTTCCCTTGTGACTGACAGGATGCTACAATGTGTTTTCACTTAATGTTAGTTATTCGTAACATTTTTGGTCACCTAAAATATTCTTATTTTTTGTTCTATTATACTTTAGTCTTGCTTCACTTCTGGTTGCAAACAAATTCATTGATTCACAATGGCAGTTTGCATATCTATGGGATAAGTCCTGCCCAATACGTTCATTTAAGTACAGTCAATGCGGTGGCCACTATATTACCCCATTTAGGCTGTTGTTCGAGATGTGTATATCAGCTGTATCATAAGGTAATTGCAGTGTGCCGGCGATGAGCTAGACAAGGAGGCATCCACGCATGCACTAAGGTGTTAAAAGTCATGTGTTTTGGCCCTGCTATTTAAGCAAAGCACGGAGAAGCACAAATTACAACACTCATACACACAGTAGAGGAGCAACTTCATTCTCTGCTCAGATAGAAATAACTTGTCTTTTAAATAAAGATTATTTGTTCACTGCTACATACAATATACAAATATTTTGACATAATAGTTTAAAACTTTATATTTCATCCTCCTTTCAGATTTGCCTTTTTCTCCAAGGGGCCGGTGTCCAGCTGATTGAGGATCAGAAAGTTCCTTATGCATTTAAACAAAATGAGTGGGTTGGCTATGACAATAAAGAGAGTTTTGAGACTAAGGTAGCCACGTGCTTCCACAAAACAGTGCTGATTTCTTTTGTCATACCAAGAGTTAAATACAAAGTCCAAGTGCATGCATTGTTGTTGAAGTGTCTGTATTCATCCAGGTCCGTTACCTAAAGGAAAACCGATTTGGAGGAGCTTTTGTCTGGGCTCTGGATCTGGATGACTTTAATGGACAGTTCTGTGCACAGGGAAACTACCCGCTCATCAGCCAGCTACGCTCGCTACTGGGTCTGGCTGAGTAGAAATATATATTCAGGTATTTTTTGGGGGATCCAGCTGGTCATTATTGACTGACATTTGTGACCTTTCATCATTTCTACAGAAATCCCCCCCCTTCCCACAAGAGAAACCTCCCCACATCCAGTGAAGCCGTCTACAAACACACCTCAACCCGCACCTCGTCCTGGACCAGCAATCACTACTTCCTCCAACATCCCAGAAGGTTTTTGTGCTACACAGACTGGTGGAATTTATGCCAAACCTGATGCCCCGGGTTCATTTTACAGCTGTGCCAATGGCATCACCTGGATTATGGACTGCCCAGCTAATTTGGTATTTCAGGATAGCTGCAAGTGCTGTAACTGGCCATGAATATTGGCCAGAAATTCTGATCCCATTTCAATAAAAGTTTGACTTTAAGAACTTTACCTGTAGCCTGAACTGACGTGTCTGGCATCCTCTGGGGCCTCATTTATAAATGTTGCGTACGCACAAAAGAAGGCGTACGCCGCTCTCTACGCAATAATTGTATTTATAAAAAGCAAACTTGACGGAAAAATGTGCGGTCCTTCACTCGGACCCATACGTACGCACAAAAACGGGTGAAATGAGAAACGTCGGCAAATACAAGAAACACGCAAACGTGTGTGAAAGTGTGTAAAACTAGACTGTTGTAAAAGAAATGCCAATACGGCCTCTCATAAATAACACGAAGACCCGTTTGATCGATCTGCAGCGTAAAACAAACAGAAATACAAATTTCAATTAGCACATTTATTAAACACATTTTCAAAAATAAAAGTGAAATATGTTCTGCAATAATATTGGCATGTTATGCAATTTATCCTCAAAACACAGCTGTTGCTTGTCCGATGCAATCAAATGGAATAAAATGCCAGGATGTCATCACAATGCGTAATGACGCAAAATGGCTGATCTTGCGCTCTTAGAAGATGTGGCAAATTGAAGGATTCGCGCTGTAGTGCAGCGCACCATCGACCGGTTTAGGGGCGGATGGCGCTGCCTCGACTGCAC